GAGAGAGAGAGAGAGAGAGAGAGAGAGAGAGAGAGAGAGAGAGAGAGAGGGAGAGAGAGGGAGAAAGAAAGAGAGAGGGAGAGAGAGAGAGAGAGAGATAGAGAGAATCTAGGACATATCTCCTGGCCAGTAAGCGGATGTTGGAGAGGGAGTGAGTTATAGGACACGTTAATACATAGCGCTACATAGACGTGCAGATATATTCCCCCGGGGGCACACACTCACACACGCACACACGCACACGAACGAACGACGACACACGGTGCATATAGAGACCAAACGCGGATGTGGGCGTGTAGGTATGCTAGCGACGTGCGTGTGTCGTAGCCAGGTGTCGTGCAAGCGTACAGGTTACGACGTAAACAGGTAGGTTAAATTGATGATTAATTACAGGTAGCAGATACAGTCCCGTACAGGTGTGGTTATGACGTATTCAGGCACGTCCGTTAATTAGTGAAAGTTATGTTACAGGAGTACAGGTATGGTAACCAGGTAAGTAGGTAGGTAGGCAGGTAGGCAGAGAGTTCAGCATACAGGTAGATAGGTAGGTATAAGCAGAGCGGTAGGTATAGGCAAGTAGGTAGGTAGACAAGCAGATGGGCAGGCAGGTAGGTAGACAGGCAGGCAGAGAGGCAGGCGCGTAGGTAGATTGGTAGATAGAGAGGTAGGCATGTAGGTAGATATAGAGGCAAGTATAGTTATAGGTAAGACTAAGAGGTTGTTGGGTCACTCACCACTTTGACGTAGGCGGTCGCCATCTTGCCCATGATCTTATCGAGCTTGTGTCGCATGCCGGTGCCGTCGAGCCGTGTCGTCGGTGCGGGCATGGCGTCGGCGACGGTCGGCAGGAGGAGCAGCAAGCCGACGACGAAGACGACGACGAGCCCGTAGCATGCTGTAAGAACGTACGCAACGCTTGAGTTCTCTGCTGCTGCAGCTGCTGTGGCCATCGGTGGCATATAGAAGGAGACACATAGCACAGCAGGGAGCTACTGATGCTGCTGCTGCTGCGGTTGGTAGTAGCGCTGGGGTGGCCGTGGTTCTCTGCCAACTCGACCCTGTCGAATGCGGCCGTAGGCAGCTGGGGCGCGGAGATGTTGTACACTTGGGGGGGGAGGGGCAAGCGGCGGCGGCCTGCGTGCGTGCATGCATGCAGACACGCTCGCGGCAAAGCCTAGCTCCAAGAAACGGTATTGCTAGGGTTAGAATACCCCTACACTTGTATAGACAATCCGTCGCACAGCCTGGTCGGGCTAGGCAAGGCCCTGCTGCTGCTGCTGCTGCTGCTGGTGGCTGTAGTACTGCTGCTGTTGCTGCTGCTGCTGCTGCTGCTGCTGGTGGCTGTAGTACTGCTGCTGTTGCTGCTGCTGCTGCTATTTCAGCGCCACGCCTTCGCCCGGCGTGCACCACCTTTCTAGATCATTCGTGTATCTGCCCGAAAGTGAGAGAGATGGAGAGAGAGAGAGAGAGAGAGAGAGAGAGAGAGAGAGAGAGAGAGAGAGAGAGAGAGAGAGAGAGAGAGAGAGAGAGAGAGAGAGAGAGAGAGAGAGAGAGAGAGAGAGAGAGGGATAGGAGAAAGGCAGGGGGGAGAGGCGAGTGATAGATTTATTCGAAGCTGCCACGCAGGGCATACTGACGTCACTGCCGCACTCGCGAGCCAGTCCAAACGACGCGCGCTCGGTATGCACTCATCCTTCTCCATTACTCGCTATTTTCTAGTGCCATGCTCGTACTCCAGCCGAGGCACCGCCATCCAGGCGCTAGGCGCCGATCACACACACACACACCACACACACACACGCCACAGGCCACACACACACACTTCACACACAACACACACCGCCACACCGACCCGCCACGCCGCCCACCGCGCACGCACACGCACACGCGCGCGCGCAACGCACCGGCGCCGATACGGCACCGGACGCACGACGCAGACGCACACAACACACACCCCGGACACGCCGGCGGGCCGGGCGGACCCACACGACACACACACACACACACTAGCCTCTCATGGCATTAACATATTCAGACGCAACAGCGTGCGCGCAAAGGTCAGCTAGTGGTGTGGATCTAGGGCCTCAGGGATCTAACATCCGCCTTCTGTCTGTCTGGCACTGCCTGTCCCCTTCTGTCTCCTCCTCCCTCCCTCTGATCTCTCCTCATCCTCTCCTCTCTCTCTCGCTCCTCTCTCTCTCGTCTCTCTCTCCTCTCTCTCTCCTCTCTCTCAGCGTGCGCGCGCGCGTGTGTGCCGTAACTGTGCTGTCTGCTCTGTTGTCCGTCTTTCATTTGTCTGTATTAGTGCGTTCCAAAATCACAAACACAAACAGATTACTGTGGCCCTGCACGAAAGAAACCTAGTTGACTTAATTAAGCGGGATCATATTTCTTCCCGATCGTGAAAATGGGAGCATTAATTTCCAATAACAAGGTGGTGCTGCTGCTGCTGCTAGCTGCTGCTGCTGCTGCTGCTGCTGGCTGCTACTACTACTGCTGCGGCTGCTGTGCTACTGCTGCTTGCTGGCTGGCTGCTGCTGCTACTGCTGGCTCCTTCTGCTGGCTGCTGCTGATCCGCTGACTGCTGCTGCTGCTAGCTACTACTGCTCTACGCTTGGCTGCTTGCTGCTGGCACGGCTGCTACTATTATACTACTATGGCTGCTGCTGCTGGCTTGCTCTAGCTGCTGCTGGCTGCTGCTACTACTATCTACTACTACTACTACTACTACTATCTACTACTAGCTACTACTACTACTAGAGCGACCTGACTACTACTACTAACTGCTGCTGTGCGGAGGCCTGGAAGGTGGGCTGCATGTGCGCTGCAGAGCGCGGCAGCAGACAGCCTTGTAAATGAGAGAGTTAATAGCCTGCAGCCGAGAAGGCGCGCGCCGGTGTGTGCGTGATGCGTATGTGCGTGCTGTGTGTGTCGCGTGTGCGTGCGTGCGTAGTGTGCGGAGTTGTGCGCTGCGGCGTGTGCAGTGCGCGGGGGGGGGGCGTGGGGGGCTAATTACTCTCTTCATCAGCGCGGATAGGTCATTCGATCGCCAATGCCATCAATCAATCACACGTGCCCGTTAGTATGGGTCAATACCTACGTGCAATGTGGTGTGCAATTCATGCATGCAATGGCATGACGTAGTTCTATAATTCTAAATTTCTATAATATCGGTAGGGGAAAACGATAGTAACAGTAAAATAAACTGCATGCACAGAACCGGTAAATAATATCGGTAGCCGAAAAACGATAGTAACAGTAAAATAAACTGCATGCACAGAATCGGTAAATAATATCGGTAGGGGAAAACGATAGTAACAGTAAAATAAACTGCATGCACAGAATCGGTAAATAATATCGGTAGAATACAGACACAAATAAACCTTTAAAAAATTACGATACATGTAATGTAATCGCCATTCATTGCATAGATCAGGTGTAGGCAATGAAAATATTTGTTATCGGCTGATTCTCCGTGCAAACGCAGACGACTCGCCGCAGTGACATCTCGCGGGAGAAAACAATGAATTCGATAACTCCCCGCGCGTACGGCACACGCCGAGCGATGTAGCGACGTTCCATTGTTAATATTATACGATATTTCTCGTCTGCTTACCTCGCAGAGTTGTGAATAGCATCGGTGACGTCATGATCTCTCTGTTCTAGCTAGCCGCGTGTAATACTGTGTTGACGATGACTGTGTCGTGTAGAAGTCGTTGTCGGAATCTCTCCCATGCACGTTCGAGGCGCCTCATTTTATACATGTGAGCTCGCATCTTTTACTTTCCCTCACCAGGCTTGCTTGCTGCTCTCTCTCATGCACGACTGGTCAGCCCGGGTGCCCGACCTCCGCTGATGTCTCACTGTGTGCTGTGACGTCACCTGTTCATACGTCACAACGCCGCACAGTGCTCAGACGCGTCCGCGTTCTATTCTTCGCGCCACGTATGATACGTTACAAATATACCGGGTGCATACGTACATACGTATACATACATACATACATAATACACGTATGCATTGGTTTCCGCTCTCTGTGTGTGTGCGGTTTTACACGCTGGATAGCGGCGTAGATGTGACGTCACGTAGCCGGACACTCGTCGACGTCACGCGGCTATATTTAGCTCCGTCGGCTGCGGTCGGCGCATGCGCGGGAGGTGCAGCGATCCTATACATAACCCGGAATGATCAATCGAGATTTCACCTAGACTGTCCCCGCCGTCTCTTCCGCGGCATAGGGACGTGCTCCGGCTCGCCCCACTACCTCCTTCTGAATCAAGACGCAGGGACGTCTATGTATTGCCGTACAGCCATAAGGCATGCGCACCGGAAGTGTGCCCTCGGGGTCACGGCCCCGCAGGCGGCGCGTCGATCGTGAGCGGCCGCCGGATTCTTGGAAAGACGTCGTTAAGCCGCGCCATTCTGCTACCCCCCCCCTCCTCCCCGTGCAGTGGGCACACACAGGTAGCTCCAAAAAATCTCTCATTGATGTCTCTCTCTCTCTCTCTCTCTCTCTCTCTCTCTCTCTCTCTCTTTCGTGCGCGTGCATACACACACACTCGCACACACGCACGTGCGCACGTACGTATACGCACGCACGCACGCACGCACACTGAACCCATATTACACTGAACGCAAACTGAATTTCAGACTCGGTTTATGATTTTTCCTCAATATGGCCCGAGGGACTGGGTCAGGGTGTACGTCTACCGACTATTTTACATATCAACTACACACAGATAGGCTGAACGCGTATGCCATACATAGAGCGAAATCTGCAGGGTCGGATCTAGGTTTTAACTAAGGGGGGGGGGTTTACCTGACGTGATTGACCTACACACCCCAGCGTGCCGAAGTCACGCCTTGCTAGGGGGGTCCGGGGCAGCCAAGGGGGGGGGGTTTACACCCCTCTCCCCCCCGTAGATCCGCCACTGATCTGTAGCCGCTTCGCTGTATCGCCACAGGCACATTATAGAAAATAAAATACTATGCGGTACTAATAGTAAACACATGCAGGTACAGGAATGCGCTCGTAATGTGTTCTAAGAATTTTAACATACCACTTAATATTGCATATACCGCGTTCATGGTTGGCTCCGACGCCAAGATGGATGAGTAAATTCTTGGTCGGGCCGGCTTTGAGGTCGGAACGATTTCACACGTACGCAAAGGAATACTGTTCCTGTCAAATATCACAATTCCAAATTCAAATTAAAATTTTATTCGCACAGATTATTCTCAACAGTTACTTTGGCAGTATGTCGCGAGATGCAATTCGTGTACGATTCAAGAGTGATTTTACTTCCGGTTGTCGAGTTCAATTATCCAATCTTGGAAAACACGGTTGGCATCCTGATCAAAGTTTATTGAATTTATACTGTTTTGGGACTTTATTTGTTTCGAAGTACAACGTCATCGACACTTCGCCGGCATCTGGCCGCGTCAACCGATTTTTTAGCTGAGTGCTCAATTTGCTCGGGCTGGTCCGACATCCGTTTTCGATGCGGACCAAATGGCTCTGCCAAAATTGGCACAGCCCGAAACGGTCCGTGTTGAACGCTCGGCTCTGGGAGGCCATAATTGGCTGGGCGGGGGCGGCCCAATTAGGCTGGGCTAAAAACGTCCGGTGTGGAACGCGCCTATAATCTTCAACTTTTCCAGTTCCGTTTCTTTGCACCGCCACCATCAGCTTTGACAGCGTGTCTTTCTTACGCGCGTCTGCACGATGACGTATACTGGCGACGCGACGACGCACCTCTGCTATTTTTAGAAGCCGGCGCAAAAGAACATCGGATAAAAAAAATCGACAGGAAATCCCGTTATAGTGAAACTTCGCGATGGTTTGACGTAACAATAGTGTGACGTCACGATTGCACATTGTAAAGCCCCGTTACGTTGTCTGAGTCATTGCACGCGAGGGGGCGGGACGGACGCAGGGAGAGGGGGGTCCGAGAACAATAAAGATGTAACCACACGTGTTGTTGGTGTATTACTTTGACGGATGCGTCTAGGAGCGACTGTGGGAGGCCTCATCCATACGCACGCACACACACACACACGCATGCACGCACGTGCGGACGTGGGGACGATGCCGTAACATGATGCAACATGCCCTCCAATCCCTCGCTCGCCGGATCAGCGTGTGTTCCGTGGCACACACACACACACACACACACACACACACACACACATTACACCCTACACACACACACACTACACACACACACCAATACACATCAGACACACACCACACACACCACACAACACACCACAACACACACACACACAACACACACAACACACACCTACACACACACACACACACACACACACACACACACACACACACAAACACCACACACACACTACCACACACACCACACCTGACAGCACACACGACACCACACGACACACACCACACACACACAACACAGCAACACGCGCACCACACCACACACCACACCGAACACGCGCCACACACACACCACACCACCTACAACACACACACACACACACAACACACAACATACACACACACAAACTACACACACACACGCACACACACACACCCACAACACAACACACGCACGCACGCACGCACGCACGCACGCACACACACACACACACACACACACACACACACACAGCCCCCGCAATATTATGACGTGCATATAAAAACCACAGGAGTGTTGCGTTTGCTGCGTGTAGTTTCCCAGCCACACCGCTCTACTCGTCTGTATTTACATATAGCGGATACACGTGTGTGTATATGCGCGCGAGCGCGTGCGCGTGTGTGTGTGTTCACTGTCGTTAGATGTCGTTGGGGATTAGCTGGGGTTTTCCCGCATGAATGTATCTAGGCGTTTTCGCGTCAGCCACCTCACATCCGGTCGTGCTTCCGGCGCCAATATTGCACGCGTTTGCGTCAGAAGTTGAAATATCCAGTCGAAATATCCAATTTAAACACATAGAGTTGAAATGTCCAGAGATGAAATATCTAGATTTGAAACATCCAGAGTTAAAACATCCAGAGTTGAAATATCTACGACCAGAGCACGTGATATGTATAAGGGAGGCCAATTAAGGGCTATAGTTGTCTGATATGATTATATGAACCATCTAGTATGTATGAACTCTCAAAGAAGGTAATTTTGGACACAGTGTGTCCGTAAGTTGCGCATGCTAATCTATGCCTTATTCGTGACAGAGGAGTCGAAGTTATACTGCATGGGGTTGGAGTACGCATGCATCACGCTACTAAATTACATGAAATAAGAAAGACAAGTCTTCTAGTGTTTCAACAGAACGGTGCCAACATGCTGCTCAGTACACGGCCAAGCTGTACATTCCAACATTATATAACCGCTGTGAAATCGTGTTTCGCTGATGATAGATCAATATTAGAATATCTATTCTATATCTATGGTTATACCGATAACATTGAATTAATTATTACAACGTATGTACAAAAACACGTAAAGTTTGGTAATAGAATGTTTAGAACCGGCAGTTTTTTCTCGGGGACGGTCGGGTGACCCTAAACAGATAGATAGTATATTTTTTTCACTTTAGCATAATGGGCGGTGACAAGGATAAAGTTCCCTACAGGTGGCAGCGTGCGTTTCCTATGAAACTTCCGGCAAATATTCGCCATTTTGTGTAGTCACGAGGAGTCTTGTGGCTGGATGCACGGTCGACTGAATTTAACTGAATACGGTCGCGTTAAAGAACAATTTAAAAGTATGTACGAAACAGCTAAGGTCTCGTATGTAAACCTCTTGCATGTTGCGTTATTAATGCATGTGATCGTTGCATAATTGTGTGCGTTACATTGCAACGTGAACTGCTCCGGTTTCGGTAGGCCTTGCGCCGTTTGAAATATGTTTACCTCGTTTCTAGTTATATTTCGTTATTCATAAAACCTTGTCATTGTAAAATACTCTGCTCTCTTTACAGCCACTGGGTCAAACTTATTTTTGATGCTAGCGATGCAAACAAGATACACTTAGGATGTTTTTGATGTTCTACTTGAACGAACAGGGAGACCGCGTGTATACTTTGAAGGTAAATAGGGCTGAGAGGGCCTATGTCCCCCGGGGTACTGCCGGAACGTACCCTGGTACTATCTAAAATGCCGGACCGTACCTCGCCTACTCCACTAACGAGTCTAGGGAGTCGCCTACGCCTACTCCCTACCACTAACCCTAACCCTAACTCTAATCATATCAAATAAATAGTGACCAGGGTACGTTCCGGTATACCGGACCGTACCCAGGTTACGTTCCGGCAGTACCCTGGGGTACATAGACCCTATAAGCGTAACTAGGCCCCTAGTAGTAGTAGTGGCGACTAAATACTAATACTACTAGTAATAGTAATGCGTAGTACTGATACTATTAGCAGGGGTTTCCCTAGAATTTTAAAGTTTATGTCAGGGTTCTGCCTAGCTCTAGTACT